GTGTGGGTATGGTCAGATGTAATGTCTAAGGTGCCATTAAAACACGAGGTGGGGGTTCCCGAAGGGTACCAACTTCTCCGCATTGCATCAATCAGGCAAACTCATTGGTGGACTGGCGTTTGACAGTCTCACTCACTGCAGGCAGTGTCACGCAGGAAACCCAATGACTCAACAAGTATTTACAAAGTTCTGAAGAGCAAACACTTCAGAAGAATTCTGTGTGCACTGCGGACATTTTGTCCCATATGCAACCCAAAAGGCAGAAGTAGCGAAGAGGTCAGTGGGTGACTTGCAATAATGAAAGTGCAAACAAATGTCTGGTAACGACACGTGATAGAGTTGCTCTGTTGCTTCACACGAAGAATCTCACCTCAGGTTTCCCAATATGTGAAGTTGACTTTTTCCCTCCACCGTCCAAAAACATGCACGCTGTTATTTTGTGGTAATTCTTTTATTTGAATATGCTAAAAATAACCCAACATGAATAAGTCAACATAAAATAAAAAACTTTAAAGAAGATAAACCAGGCTGGTCCAAATATCTCTCCTAAGCTTTTAATAAAATATTTAAAGCTGATTTAGCTAAATCGAAACTTTAACGAACATAGAGAAATAAATAAAATGTATATATAATGAGAAATTGACTATACTTATATGGTTTAGCTGACCACTCAAAGTGCTTTTACAACATATGCAACATTGCTTTGTTCTAAGCATTAAAAACCCATTGAAACACTGTAGGCAACGCGACATTCAGTGTCTTGTGTAAAGGGTGTTTTACAAAGAAGCTCAGAGATGATTCATTGGCTTTCTGGTTGACAGATGACCGCTCTTTTTCTTTCTCCTGAGCAACCAATGAGGGTTCGTTGAAAACATCCAAAATTTTACAGTAAAAAAGACTCTCCTTGAAATAAAAAACATATCCACTTGTGCAAGGGATCTAATCTTGAAAAGGATCCAGTTCCTGTCATAATACTGATCATGGCAATGCTGGTATAGAAAGTGAATATATACATTTCTGGTGTATGGATTTAAAGGTATTTTTTAGTTTCTTACAACATATATTCTTATACCAGGGAACAAAGATGAAAAACAATGGACAAATTAAAAGCATATATTGGACTCTTTTTGTTTAATTTCAGCATCTTAATAGAGCGTATAAAGTCTTAAAAATGTATAAACTGACATTGTGATTGTCTTTATTCTGCTTCCACAGGGCGTCTCAATAAAAAGGATTCCTAAAAAAGTAATCATTTGTTTTTCTTCCCCAAAAGTAAAAAATCTATAGGACTTGTTGTTATATGTTCAGCTGCATACAACTGGAGTCTAAAAGTCAATCAGCATCTAATATAGGTAATGAATGATATGCATTTGTCATCTGTCCTGCAAATGTCAGTTGTTGAAACTGGTGGTCATCATTTTCTGAGAGGAAGGGTCTTTGACAGATGAGTTTCCGTCTGTTCGAGACTTGCAGGACAAAGCCAAAGCCCACAGGAACGTAAACAAGCCTGAAAGAAAAGAGAATGGGAATTTCAGTGGTCAGACGTTGGCATCCGGCTCATACCACACCATTACGAACCATTACACCCAGGTACTGACCCTGCAGGGAGTTGAATATTGTGAAGATGTAGATCCCGAGTGTAGAAACGTATGTGGTGCTGGCAAGCCCCCACGGTAAGCCCAGCACGCAGCTGAGGCCCAGCACTGTGACGCAATCCTTCCATATCCGAGGCCCGGCCTCCTTTGTCATCTTCTTCCAGTCGCTGCTGCTTTCGTAACCACCCTGACCGACCCTTATCCGCCACAGCTTGAACACCACCAGCCCCAGCATGCAGGAATTACACAGGATCACGAGACAGAGAAAGGCCACAGTGCTGTAGCTGACTATGTGCCTCTGCGGGAAATCGCTGCTCAACCAACAGCTGCTCGATATAGAAATAAGAGACAAACACACGGACACAACAAAGAGAGTGAGATTACCGTTCCTCGACATGTCACAGAATTATGACTGCTGTGTGAAAATGATAGGGTCTTACATTTGTGACGTGGACGTGTTGTTCTGGGAATCTCTGATCACCAGACTGGATTTGCCATAAACGCCACAAATCCCACACGCTGCTACAGCCAATGTAGGAAGGCCTGATAAAAGACAACCAAAAACAAAGATTACTTAAAAAAATAATGCTTTGGATTTTAAATCTGCACTGCAGCGTCACATCTATCATCTAAAAAATGTTAAAATTGTATTGATTTAAAGCTCAGGACCCTAATTTAGATAAGTAGTGCGTGCCAAACTGCATCAGGATTCCTCTTATACATTTAACTTTACTCCATATCAACTTTGTTCAAGGCTTTTATCTCCAGCGATCAAAATAACAGTGTTAGACATACTTGGGCACTATAAATAAGGACCTTTTAAATTACAAAAAAAGGCCAATAAGACAACTTAAACTTTCAATCAAAACCCACACAACATGTTACCATGATATTTTCACCATCACATTCCCCTCCCCGATGATCACCTGGGTGATGTGTGCCACAGATTAACACATGGGGCCGCAGCCATAGCCTAATGGCTAGAGCGGGCGGCCCATATACAGAGCCTGTGCTCGTAAGCGGGCGGCCGTGGGTTCGAATCTGGCCCACGGCCCTTTCCCGCAGGTCTCCCCCTCTCTATCTCTGCCCCCTTTCCTGTCAACCTACTGTCATTAAAGGCCACTAGAGCCAAAAAAATCATAAAAAAATAAAATAAAAAAAAAAGATTAAAGATTAACACATGAATCATGAAATAGTAGGAGGCATCAGGCTTACATGGTAGCACATTACGTAACGCTGTTCGATATATCCAATGGCTCTGCTGGAAAACCATCCAAATGGGAGAATGAAATGGATCACCAAGATTTCCTGGCCCGTTACGGCTAATGGTAACTGGCTCTTAGCTGACACGTAGCCCATGATCAGTGATGAATAAACTTTCTGCCTAAAACCACTTTTAGAAATTGACAACCAGTGGCAGAACAGGCCGACATTAAAAGGTCATTTACAGCAACACACCCGGCGCAAATGTGTGTATTCTTTCTTTGTCGCGTCTCAACTCTGGCTGCCAAACAAGGTTTAGTTTTTTTTACTCTCCACCTCATTCACCAATGCATCTATTGCTGCCTCAATGAGGTTGCTTTAATTTTCTTTGCTGGTTGCCCTATCTGGCTTTGCAATAACATTGATTGGCGGACTCATTTAAATACACACAGACATTTATGAGGTGCTTTTCTCTGGCCACTGATTGCTGGATGTGGGCGTGTAGAGGGAGGAAGATGAGGTGGAACCTTGTATGCAAATGTTGAGGTGCTGCTGTGATTTATAAAAGAAGGGAAGTGAAAATTTTGTTTTGATCTTTGGCATACATACGTCTTCGGCATTGAGCATACATACACTTTTACATAAAACTCACCCCATCCCACCACGCTGAGCTTGAGCAGGTATCTCTGGACGTAGATGTTAAAGACGCGGACGAGAAGGAGGTAGAGGTGGAACCCCTCCAGAGCTATCCAGGTGAAGGTGGCAAGCAGGGACCAGTGTAAAAAGAGGCCCAGGCTTTTGCAAACCCAGCCGACTTCCACCTCCTTCAGCAGCAATAGCCAGAAACTGCAGAAGAGGAATCCCAGATGGAGGCAAAGCAGTGCCACGGATAGCTGTATGTGCATGCGAATGGCCTTCTCGGGACGTCGGCGACTGAAAACAAGAAATGGACATTTTTGATTGTCAAGCTCAGGCGAACAGGTTTTTTTTTTCAACCAGTTTTTGACTAGAATGTAGCAGGCTTCTCATCTATGTCAACCATTTGGCTCTGTAGAATTTTTTCCTCATACTATGCACTTGGATGGATATTTAGCTTTCTTTCTTAAGTTTACAAGGTGATTCTTGGAGGCTCATGTGTTAACATCTAATTCCCTTATCTTTATCATTAAAACAGATTGGGAGAATCTGCACCATTCAGTCAAGTAAATTTTTCTGAATTTCTGACTTTAGTAAACCACATAGACATGAGACAAATAAAAAAAAGTTCACAACACATCTATTGTAAGCAGTTTTCCTGCGATGTAAAATTTCCCAAACCTAAAAACTGTTCTTAACTGTTCAAAAATGTGTCCTGTGACTGACTACAGTGATTCATAAAATATCACTTTCAAGGTAATAAAGCCTCTTAAAAGCCCCCAAAAAGCACAAATAATCAACGCCAACAACGCATACAACAGTATGCAACAGGTAACGGAATGCAGGGCTGGCAGTCATGAGAAAAAAACACAGTTTTTATGTGGTAAAATAGTAACAACATGGTAGGGGAGATTGGGCAATAAGCATAAAAAACATAAAAAACCATTATGATGAGAAAATATTCAAAAAGATAATGATGAGCCAAGCTTGACAGATCAACGGTCTGATTTGAACCACAGACTGCTGTGTTTGGGCTTCCTGAAAATGGTTACGTAATTTCATCAGCACTTATATACTGATACAATATGAGTAGGAATGTATTCTAACTAAAATCAGCAACTCTCTATGAATAGTAGATGACTGATTGCTTGTTAGTTCTTATAGTTGGTTTGCAAATATTTCTTCGTGGAACTTCCTGTTTTCAGTTTTGATTAAAAATGCCTTCTGAGAGCGTATGCTTGCTTTGGTGTGAAATATACCAGGCCCTGAACGAGGTTACTGTGTTCTGCACAGTTTGCAATGTGCTCTGATGTTGCTCTCTTACATGACTTTAGGATATTTCACACAATATGAGAAACAGCTGTTGAATAGACAAAAACATACTGCAGGCCAATGTAGATGAACAAGCTGATGAATAGAAAGAGGGCAGACACCGCCGATCCAACGTAGGTGATATACTCCAGACTTTTGGCATCCTTTTTATCTATGGATATGTTGGGGTTCTGGAACAGAAAAAGTTACAAATTTGATTAAATGCATTTTAGATGGTTCCTTTTCAGAAAACTTCCACACCCAGAAAAGTATAGATTTGTAACAAGTGAGATTGTAATTTGACCAATTAGTACCTTCCCATTAATCTGTTATAAGTAGTTTCAACATGTTCTTTTAATATTAGAGCATGCACAGAGAGAGCTTTACATTGAGTTATTTTGTATTCATTTTGTGTTCATTTTGTATATAATGTTTTTACTAAATCATTCAGATGGAAATAATGGTAATTATCACAATTATTATTTTCATATGTGAACCTGAGCCAACCATATCTATCGGTGAGGTGTCTCCTAAAATACCAAGCAACCCCAACTAAAAAAAACAAACACAAAAAAACACTCGTGATCCTCTGTTGTGTTGTGCTAAAAAAAAGTAACCGTATGACCAAAGTTTTTAAAACCTTCTCGTACGATTATAGCAAAGAATGGCAGCCATCTTAGATTTACGCCGCCACCCCCCTCTTTTTTAATTTTTTAGAATTTTTTTACTGTAATTATTGCTGTCATTTTTGTGACAATAACATGCAAATACTTGTACGTGATGTATTACCTCACGTGTGCCTGTGTGCGATGCAAAAACGACGGAACAATTGAAAGTTACATTTTTTTAATATCTTTTTTTTTTTTAAGCAATACTTACCACAAGCACAGCAAAGAAGCTCAGGTGATTGCAACGGCAATGAAATTCATTAGCAGTGCTACTAGTTTCACAGCCCTCTGTGCTCCATCGACCTAAAAGCACACACAGTGTTGTCTGCTCATGAGCACATGTTAAACTACATATACTGTACATATATAGGTCACAAACCCACGTACAAACATGTATTCATAAGCCACCTGTTTTGTTGCCACTCTCTGGATCCTGCCAGAACACACAGGTTCCGTTTCCCACCTGGGAGATTTGTTAGATGTTGGGAGTCAGACAGGAATTTTCCAACCGGAAATGGTACAGCAAACAGCTGTTTTACTTAATCTCACCGTTTGTTTGCGGTTGAAGATTAACCTGATGGGTTCGGTGAGGTTTTTGACTGGGGTGTTTCCTGCCTTCACAACCAGGACTTGGTCCCTTAAAACGGTGCCTTTGATCTTGACTGGCTGTTTAGAAAGTGGTTGGCTTCTTTTCCTCTGTGGATTGGTAGATAGATGCGTTTGAGGCGTTTAATACTTATTGTAGAGAGAGTTTGAAAAGATGTTACCAGGCTTTTAGGAACTGAACAGAAACAGAACATGAACAACTGATACCGTTTAAACCTTTCCCTCATTTTCATAGCGCACCCCATGGCTGTTGCAATATGCAAATAAGCACAAATGAGCACAAGACACAGTGCTGCTTTGTGCACATGTAAGCCAAGTATGAATATAATCTGCATAAAACAGATGAATTTTTTCTTACTCGTAGGTTCCTAGAGGTAATGTTCTTAAAAAAGCTGCTGCTGATGACAGTGGTCAGCAGCAGGACGTCCTCATCAGTTGAGTTCCCTCTGCTTTTCTTAAGAGCCGAGGACGGGATCTGAACGCTGTGTTCTATTGTAGTGTTCACTCTGGCCTAAAAACCATAAACCCAAGCAAAAAAAACAACAACATGAAAACGAAACACACTGAAGGTTCATATCATACTGCGAATAACAGGAGGCTTTACTTCAGGGAAATCTTAAACATAGGGGTGGAAGCATAAAACCATGTACATTGGAAATACAATATCAGATATGGTGGTTTTTAAGAATTTTGTTGAAATAGATCTTATTGACCCAGCAATGACTCTTCAATTCATTACATCATTTATACAAAATGTTATTTCTACTCCTACTTGCTATCCCTCAACTAAAGCAATGAAGACACCCTTACATAATTTCAGTATAAGTAATTATTTAGTATTTTGTCGAATGAAAGTGAAACACATCCTCACCTCTTCGGTAGAATTCACCATGAACCGATAGAAGCCAAACATGCGCCTCCTTAATGTGCATGTCATGATTCTTTCCTCATAACATCTGCCAAAAAAATGTTTAGCATACCGTTGCAATCTAGACCTAAAACTGTACACAATTAATCCCGTCCTTTTTAAGGCAGCACATACATTTATATATAAATAAAAATCAATCTATACACATAGAATCACACGGCCTGTATGAGTTACCTGGTCCAAGCTGCGTTAAATTCTTCCATACAGTCTGGGATGACATTTTCACAATAATAGGGTTTGCCTGCCAAAGTCACTGAGTCAGAGATCTCAATTAGGATAGCAGATAGATGAAAACATCACCACAGAACTAGCAGCTGAATGAGACGGAACTGAAATGTGATATATTAACATGAAAAAAAACATAACACAAATGCCAAAGCCATCTGTGATAATTTGATCCTCACATGCATTACGAGAGAGCGAAGAGTTACGGCTTTTAGGTTTTAGCTTTATTTGGATTTGAAAGTATCAAGAGACTCGAATACCCCCATCATGATCCACACAGCTGATTGACCAGCACTTACTCTGGTCGTAATCTCAGAAGCTCTCATTCATAAATAAAGGAGTGTGAAGCGTATTAACCTTCAGCCTGGGATGTTGAAAAACAGAAAAGTATGAGGATCCCAGCAGTAGTCCACATCATTGCTGACTGTTCCTTAGCAGTGGTCCTCACACAGTGACAGCTACATGCACAATGTTGTACTTCAGTGAAGTCTGCTTAACAAGGAAGAAAGGGGAGTTTCACATCTGCTTTGGTCCATGTTGGCAGCGCTGTGGTTGACAGCTCAGATACGGAAATGATTCCAACACAACATGTTTCTCACAGCAGAGCAACAGCTTTTTTCTCAGCAGGTTCTGATTTTATAATGGAATCTTGAAACTCAAAGAGAGCTTTGGGGATCTTCTGTTTAGTATCAGATCTGTATCCTCGTGAGCTAACTTCAGGAAATGAGCAGGGGAATTTTTTTTGCCGTGACTAAATCTCCTATACTGGATGATGTTTAAAATAATTGAGGAAGTTTCCACATCTTGTGGTTTTCCCGTGGATGAGAGAGAAAAAAACTGTTTAGTTATGGTCTTCAAGAACTGACATTCACAAACTGAAGGGGAAGTGAAACTTAGACCTGCCCCCATCTTGACTTCTGAAGCTGGCAGCACATGGAAACATACATTAAGTTAACAAAACTGTATAATTTTAACACAAAATGAACAACATTTCTTTAACAACTTTAAATTAAAGTAAAAATTATTGTTTTTCAAAATCAAGCAAGGACGACATATTCAGAGCCTTGGTTACAGAGAGGGAACTATCTGTTTTGGTGTTAAGGCAGCATTATTTTGTTTACATATTTAAAATTTATGAACAAAATTCCCTGGTAACCCTGTTTTTGATAGTTACTTTGATAAGAGAGCCACTGGAAGATAAAAAAGCCTTGATAAACAGACTCACATGGGACTGAATTGGAGGGGGTTTGTGATCTAGTTAAAGAAACAGAAAAAGTATCCGGAATAAGCCTCTGATCATTCCATGACTGTCTTGTTAGTTTGACTAAAACCTTACACAAACTTTTATTTAAAAAAAAGAAACATGCTGTTTCAATTTTGAATGCTGTGATGAAACAGGTTGTTGAGAGGACAGACAGTCCTTTCAGGCTCTCTATTTGTATGTGGTTTGAATAGAAGCAGTTACTATAAAAAGCTATGGCAGAAAATGGCTGCCGTTTTGAAGATCTGCATTTGTAAATAACTATTTTGAGCCTAGGGTGGCTTTCACTCGAGCACTTTTTGGTGCCAACCAGAGTTTACATATATACTGTAGTCTACTTCATTTAGAAAGGTGACAAAGCTCACCAACATTCACAGGCAGGTGCTTGGTGTCGCCCCATTATTTTTGTTATAAACTATATGTATTTTGTCCTTCTCATTCAAAGAACATGTTTTTTCTTCTACATCCATCCATCCAACCAACCATTCTCCTCTGCTTATCCAGGGTTGCAGGGGCAGCAGCTGAAGCAGGGAAACCCAGACTTTCCTCTCCCCCGCCAATTCTGCCAGCTCCTCCGGGGGGATCCCAAAGCGTTCCCAGGCCAGCCGAGACACATAGTCCTTCCAGAATGTCCTGGGTCTTCCTCTGGGCCTCCTCCTGGTGGGACATGCCTGGAACACCTCATCAGGGAGGCCACCAGGAGGCATCTTAATCAGATGCCCGTGCCACATCAACTGACTCCTCTCGACTTGGAGTAGCAGCGACTCAACTCTGAGCCCCTCCCGGATGGCCAAGCTTCTCACCCTTTCTCTCAGGGAGAGCCCAGCCACCCTGCGGTGGAAACTACTTTCGGCCGCTTGTATCCGTGATCTCGTTTTTTCGGTCATGACCCAATGTCCGTAACCATAGACGAGGGTGTGAACATACATCGACTGATAAATCGAAAGGTTCGCCTTTAAGCTCAGCTCTCTGTTCATCACAACAGACCAGTAAAGCGCCCACATTACTGCCGACGCCACACCGATCCACTTGCTGATCTTCCACTCCCTACCCCCATTTGCGAACAAGACCCCAAGGTACTTGAACTCCTCCACTTGGGGAAGGATGTCTCCCCCGACCCGGAGAAGGCACTCTACCCTTTTCCGGTCAGAGATCATGGTCTCGGACTTGGAGGCACTGATCCTCATCCCAGCCACTTCGCACTTAGCTGCGAACTGCTCAAACAAGAGCTGTAGATCACAACTTGATGAAGCCAATAGGACCACATCATCTGCGAAAAGCAGGGATGCAATCCTAAGGCCACCAAAACGGACACCTTCAACACCTCGGCTGCGCATGATAATTCTGTCCATAAAAGTTATGAACATAACCGGAGACAAAGCTTTTTGACGCCTTAGTGACTCCAGCCCCAGAGATTGGAGAGCTCGACTCCAGAACCCAAGGCTCTGACCCTCCAATGGAAGACGCACCAGTGGGATTGAGAAGGTCCTCAAAGTACTCCGCCCATAGACCGTCAATGTTAACAGCACCCCACCCCCACTGTAAACAGTGTTGGTGAAGCACTGCTCCCCCCTTCGAGGCGACGGATGGTGGACCAGAATCACCTCAAAGCTGCACGGAAGTCTTTTTCCATGGCCTCCCCGAACCCCTCCCACTCCCGAGTTTTTGCCTCAGCAACCACCCGAGCTGCCGATACCCATCAGCTGCCTCACGAGTCACACAGGCCCAAAAGGCCCGACAGGACTGCTATCCCGAGCCCCGATAGGACTGAAGGCATCTCTCACCGCTGGTGTTTACCAACAAGTTCGAAGGTTACCGCCACGACAGGCACCGACAACCCTGTGACCTGGGCTCCGGGAAGCCGCGTCGACGATGGAGGCCTGGAACATGGCCCACTCGGACTCAATGTCCCCAACCTCCCTCGGAACGTGCTCGTAGCTCTCCCGGAGGTGGGAGTTAAAGTTCTGCCTAATAGGGGACTCCGCCAGGCACTCCCAGCAGACTCTCAAAATTCTTTAGGGCCTGCCCGGTCTCACTAGCATCCTCCCCCACCATCAGAGCCAACTCACTACCAGGTAGCGGTCAGTGGAAAGCTCTGCCCCCCTCTTCACCCGAGTGTCCAAGACGTGCGGCCGCAGTTCAGATGAAACGACAACAAAGTCGATCATTGAGCGGTGTCATTGAGCACATATGAACACCCTTATGCCTGAACATGGCAATCTGTGGCGAACACAAAAGTCCAACAAGACACGGGTTCGGGCTCAAGCTGGGGGGGCCATTCCTCCCAACCAAGCCCCTCCAGGTCTCACTGTCGTTCCCCACGCGAGCATTGAAGTCCCCCAGTAGAACAAGGGAGTCCCCAGCACCCCCTCTAAAGACTCCAAAAACGATGGGTACTCTGCACTCTTGGTGACAAAGCTCATCAACAATCACAGGCAGGCGTTTGGTGTTGCCCCATTATTTTTGTTGTAAATTATATTTATTTTGTCCTTCCCATTCAATGAACATGGTTTTTCTTCTTTGAAGTGCCTTTTTGGTTTCTCTCCCTTTTCTAACAGATCCGGCTCATCCATTAAAAATAGACACGGGAGAGCAGTTGTTTCACAGGCAGAAAAAACCCCCAAGACTTCATTGTAACAGAGAAATGTAAATGTAGCATTTCTTCCTTTGCGTCTTTCGATAGTATTACACCCATGTAAAACGGCATGTTGTTTTGTTCTCATCATTTCAAATTACCATGTTAGGGTGACAGGATGTTGTTGTTGTTAGTCTTCTACTGTGTGTCACAGTGTTGCTCCATGCCACAGATCATTATCTTGCACATAGTCTACACATGTAGTTCAAACAGAACCGTTTTCTCATATTTCTTCAGCACAGCATTCAAACCAGTACAAAAATGCCTTGTAAATCCATGGTTTAACAGAGAAATATCTCAGTAGAAAATTTAAGAAAGTTGCAAAGAAAGACAGAAAGACACAGAATATACAGACTGTTTTTTACATTTTATTATTATTATTGTTTTGGCATAGCTACAGTTTCCTGGTTTGAAACTTACACAAGAATGTTGAGAGTACCAAGGGTAAGATAAGGGCTGTTCCTAGAAGCTTTGACTTCTCTTTTTAAAGATTTAAAACCAAGGATGTCCGAATATTTCATTTGTGTACATACGTCTTCATATCATATGAATTGCTGCCAGGTTGGTTTGTCTTGTAAGAGGGGCCTCTGAACTAGGGTAGGATGCAGTGCTGGATGTCTATAGCTGATGGCTAATGATAATCATGTACTTATAAAGTCACAGTTGTTTGATTTCAGCGGAACATTATTTTCATTCCTTTAGCAATCAAGCCGCTCAAAATTAACGCCTTGTAGAGCAAATACTACGCTAAAATATTTCTGATGATAGAATTTAAGTTATACATTTCATTTGGATTTTGATAAGTTGGTGAATATACAGCGAAGTGCAAAGTACAATATTCTACATTTAATAGATTAAAATCAAACTGCAGATTGGTATGTTAAAAAGCTATTTCATTAACCATGTTGAAATGCTACAGAGGGCTTTGTTGGCATCCCGGGTACATTCAGAAGGATCGGAAGGAAAGATTATCTATTCTGATTTAGTTCCTGATGTCCTCCCAGGAGTTGAGGACAGTTTGTCCTCCATCTCCAACTTCCTTTGTTTCTTGGTTGAAATGAGAATCCACAGGAATATGAGAAATCCTTGACACAATCACACAAGATTAGATGAGATGGGAGTTTGTGTTAGCAGCGTAAGCAAGAATCACAAAAACCAAACTACGTTCCAAAATGGAAGACTTACCCTGTAGGGAGTTGAGGATGCAGAAAAGGTAAAGGATTGGGTAGTTGACATATCCAGATCCCAGGAAGGCCAGGCCCCAGGTGGTGCCCATCAGGCAAGTGAGACCCAGCAAAGTGAGGCCACTTTTGCACGATGCACTGAAGCGGTCCGGATCCCCATTTCCATTTTTAAACTTTGAGTAATTCTTTAACACATGCTTCATTTGACAGATTTTGGAAGCCACTGCCATCAAAATGCAAGAGTTGAAGATAAAAATGATTGCAAAATATGACAGGTTTACTGAATAGAAGAATGCGTCATCTGTGATCCAGCAGCTGTAAGGCACAAAGAATGAAGGGGGCCATCAGAATGGGAACGTTTTGAGACATGATTATTAGTTATTCTCAGTTCTTAGAGTAGAATAAAAGAATATATATATTTTTTCGTTTCAGCTTAGGCCATTTAATATAATTAACTTTCCATCTTAAGATTTTTGTAGCATGTGGCTACTTCATTGTTTCATTGTTTCATTAATTGTTTTCATTCAGAATAAATATCTGATTTTTACTCTGTCTACTGGAACAGAGAGATCGCCATTTTCCGATTAAACTATAATAAAAGATACACATTTCAGGGCTTATTAAGATACATGTTACATAACAATTAACGAGAATATTTCTGCCATTGTGCCATCTTTTTGGGTTACAAATACCCAAGACTTTACAAAGTTTAAGGAAACATTTGCTGATTTCTTTAGATGGCTCTTTTTACAAAGAGAAAGTGGTACAAGATGGAAACACAAAACAAACAAAAAATTAAATAAATGAAATAGATTAAGACAAACTGCACTGTTTTCACAAAGAATGCAAACTGAAATTCGATTAGATCTTCATTTCAGTTTTGAAAAAATGCGTTTGACTTGTATCTTGATTCTTTTTACTGATGATACTAAGGATAAAATAAATAAATTGACTTACATTTGGGCTGTTTGGTTGCTATCAGACATGGACACCTGGTTAACACCGTAAAACTGCTTGAAGTCTTTCATTCCCAAAGAGGTAGCTACAATAAGACCAGGGATCCCTAAAAGTCCCACACACGGACATGGTTACACATAAATTTGAAGTCATTTTTGTAATTCTTTATTAGATGGATTCAATATATATATATGACCTATAGAATAAAGTAATTAAGTTAAAAGTTAAGGAAAAAACTTGAGGGACTCTTGAATTTTCACAATTAGATGTGTAGAGAGTGAGGACATCGCTTTGAATGTGTAGCTAGCCCATTGTCCTCTCAGCTTCAGTCAAACATAGGCCCAGCAGGTTTCCTCAAAAGACTACATACGAGATGTTTGTAATGCCACAGCTTTCTGGACATCCTGTGTGAAAACCGAATTTAGTGTTTCTCAGTGTGTATCTGAACTGTGATATTAACAGAGATGTCGATTGCTTCAAATTCGGTAAAAAACAATACATCAAGGCTGAAAATCTTTAAGGAAATAAACATTTGTTTTCTGAAAATAAAATATGTTGTGGGTTTCACTTTGAATAAACTGGACAGGAAGAATCAGGGGGTTAAAACAGGCAAAAAAATGAAAAGAACAAAAATATATTTTGACGCTTGTGTCTGGTTGGATCCCTGGTGTGTCGTTCAACTTATCCTTTGTTTAGTGTTTCAGTGAGGGTCAGGTAGGCTTTGTTTTTCTGAGACTGTCCTAAATAGAGGGCAAGAGCTATATCTCCAGCCAAAAGACAGAAAAACAATTGATAATCTGCAACAGGAGGTTGATGAAAAAAGGAACAGTTTAGTTTATAAAGATAATCTGTAAATATGATTGATTGCTTGTTTGATTATTATAAACCTGGTCCAGTATTCTGATTAACCAAGAAACTGCTGTTGAAACAGTGTCAAGTGTCAAGTCATTGGTGCTCAAAATCAACTGGATAAGAGATGCAAAAAAAAAAAAAAATTAAGCCAACCCTATTACAGGAACCTTCCATCTCGATTTGTATCAGTAGAATGAAGGTGTATTGCTGGGTAAATGAATATCTTTAACCATTAAACTGGCCATGAACAATTAGTTGAGTCAGTCAAGGAACCAAACTAGACTCTAGATTTAAATTATTTTGACAATGAAAACAGTTTGTGCAGTTTGCTGAAGGACTCAAGGAGAATCAAGATCAACTCCAAGGAATGAATTAAAACTGAAATTAAGCATTAATTTAATCATGTCAAATTGATATTTTTGTCTCAGAGCAAGTAGGAAGGAATATTATGATATTCTGACTGTTTAAGAACATATGTTTTTTTTTGATAAATCTTAAGAAATACACAGTTTATAACCCCTCCTTTCCCTGTTTTTAAATGCAAGTCAAAAATAGCAGCTGGAAACAAACCCAGTTCATGCACACTCATGTCAACAGGTCGTATTGCAGAACTTACCCCATCCGGCAATAGACAGTTTCAGCAGGTAGTATTTGTAGTAGGTGTTAAACACCTTTATCAGCAGCACATAGAGGTGAATGGCCTCTATGGCCATCCAGGTGAAACAGCAGAGCAGGGAGTAATGCATGAGTGCCGCTACACACTCACACACCCACTCGGGCGTTACTGTGGCCGCCCATTCACTCAGCAAGAAAGCTGTGTTGAGCAGTAACAAGGCCCCGCTCAGAGAGGTGTGAATAGCTATGGAGTAGTCCATTTTGTGCTTCCTTAGGGCAAATAAAAAGAGAAAATACAGTGAAGACCAAATGCATAAGTACAGAATACTAGAATGAAGCAGTAAGATGTAGTCAAAATGTTCACCACTGTTAAGTCACAGATACATACGCAAGTCTTCCATTTAAGGAGGATACACCTACCTGGTATATACATACATTATAATGGATAAAGCACTAAAGAATGCTGATAGTCCACAGCCTATATAACTGATGTATGACAATATTTTCCAGTGGGCCTCTGAAATTGGTGCTCTAATCTGCATAACAGTATGGGAAAGATCACAAAAAAATGGCTTACTGTTTGTTGTCTGTGTAAAACTGGAGTATGACTGAAAACTTTACACACTAATATCAGTTATTAGATTATTGCAGGAATGATGCTGGTTCCATTACCAGAAGAACAGCGAAGGCTGTCGTATGGTTGCAGTTGCAGACAATATCATTTTGTTCATTTTGGGTCTCACATCCATCTTTTTTCCAGGCCCATTCTGAAACCAGGAAGAACATGCAGCATGGTAGTTAGCTCCTCACACTAGGTCAAATCACGCTGGCTGTCTGGAGTAAATACCACTGAAAAACATGCAAGATTTGGGCAGACCCAATGATTCCACGCCTCTTTTCAAGTCTATTTTCACATCTAATGAATCACGCCAACTACACATGACTTTATTTCAAGCTTTTTTTTTGTCCTTGCAGAAAATTGGAACTTTCATGGAATAAATTCAATAGATCAATGTCACATGTGCAAAAAATGCGTGAACACTAGGACGTAGGTTGATGTAATACGTAGTGTTAATTGCAGACGACAGCTACCCGAAACAACGGAACTTGGACGTGTGATTAAACTCATAAATGACTTATGAAGGAATGCTGGAATCACCGAAAAAAAACAGAGGAGAACATTCTTTTAAAATAATTTTTGAACAATAATTGGACAAAGCATTTTGAGTAGGTCTATAAATGACTACAGACTAAAAATGACAACTCCCAAATGCTGCTTACTGAAACTATTGGTTTCTCACAGTGGAAGCAGTCATTACTGTGGCAACAGAATTCTGAGTTAAATGACAACTTTTAAGAAAGCTTTTTGGATAAAACTACACAGCAGATGTCTAACATTGGTGATGTCAATTGCATGGACAAGTTTGCGCATCCCGGCTGGCTATAACTCAAAGACTACGAATGGAAGGCTAAGAAGATTCTACCCAGAACACATTCCAGAAGAATGCAGGTGTATGGAGATGTTCTAAGGTGATCGGAGATTTGCTTGGGTGCAATGTAGTATCTCAAAGACATGCTTGGAATTAAGTAACTGCTAAAATAAATCCAACAGGATGTCATCAGCATAACAATGAAATTGTAAAAAAGAAATGTCTTTTTGATATTTTCTAAAGGTGTCACATAGAGTACGAGCAAGACCCAAAACCCTGCAAACTCCTGTGCACAATGATTTGAGTGGAAGAAACAACTTTTTCAGACAGATTTAACTTAAACCTACAGTGGCCCTGAAGTGCCAACCACATCAACAAATCAATAGTCACAACTATAAATTTAAAAAACACAACCTATTGAAAAACGCTACAACATCTTACCTTTGAGTCTGAAAGGTTTCATTGTTGTCTTGATGTATTTTACATTATTTAAATCATTTTACATTTTATTATATATTACATTTGACATTAATAGTCTGCATGCCTTCCACTTTGTTTTTTAATGCTTTTAAACTTTACTCTCATGATATTGTGTGCAATACATTTTCTGCTGTGTGCAATTTTGTGTATACATTTTTTTCTCAAAAATGAATTAATAAATTCATTAATTATTCTTTCTAAACCAATTTAATTAATTGATTTAATTTATTCATTGACTTTCTTCTCAACATATTTAATGCATTCTTAAACAAAAAGTCAAAAATAGTCCTAAAAAATATCCTCCTCCTATTTATTTTTTTCCATGTGGCTCTAATTCCCCATCATACTGGCTTAATACAAACTAACAAGGATACTGTCTCTGGAAGGTATTAGGAAAAAAAATGTCAAACACCTACCATATTCATCAAAATAGTGACACGTCAATTGTGTTTGATTCTGTAAAGGAACAAAAAATGAGTTACATTGAGATTAAAACCACTTGCCGGTCATTTAAAGACATTTTTCTAGTAGTGATGGAATATAGAGAACACACGCAAAAACCTTCAAACTTACGCCGTTGTCCATGTGAGCAGCACTAAAACGCATCGTTATCGGCGGCTTCAGATTCTGTAGGCGTCTCTCTCCAAGTAGCTCTATCCTCAGAACTATCGATTGGATATTTTCCCCGTCAAACTGTTATGGAGAAAGTTATAGAGCAGGGCTTAAAGGCAAGGAGAGCTATAAATGTATGTGTATCTCTTAATGAATAGTTTTGAAATGAATAATTAATCAAAAATGCATATGTGTCTGGACTAAACTTTAAAAAGGACATTGTTGATTTTTAAGTTGTCAAGACTCTGGGTTAGATTATAAAGAATGTAGAACGCATGATATACCAGGAGATGGCGGTGCTGCATGTAGCTGACCAGTCCAATGATCCTTTCCTCTTGTGGGATGTTCCGTATGGCATTCACAGGGAGCCAAACCTCAGGGATGACTGACTTGTTTTGGGGCAGCAGCTAACCATGGAAATGAAAAATAAAACAAACACAGGGCATTTTGTTGTTTTCTTTATACTGGAAAGAAATACACATTGATTCTCATCTAAATCAAGATATCCATTTGAACTACACCCTAAGTAATTTTGATCACGTTGAACATTTACTGGCTTAGAGTTTCAATCATTTCAATTGTTTTGTCTTAGCTTCTTAATAAGATTTTTATTTACCTGAGGAGCTTCCATCTCGATTTGGACGTTGGATCCTGTAGAGCTGAAAGCATCATCGTCTATCTTGACCACCTTTATTGACAAATCCCTCAGACTGTGACTCGCAACGTTTCCTTCCTCAAACGTGGACATTTTGATAATGTTGTGAATTATTTGTTTTTCAACTCTACGAAAAAACGATGAATGTAACGTAAGACCGAAGAACCCTATTAACATGTATTTAATAGCTGAAAAGCCCTTGAAATTACAAATAAGGAACCAGTGAGACAGGCCCACCTAAAAATGTGTTCTAAACCTACTCATTTAATTAATAATTATTAGTCAGTGCAATAATAGTGAAGACCTGTTAACATCATGGTGGTGTGAGATGAGGGAATTTCTTTAGATATAAGAATTACTGCTAAAAAAATATTTAAAACTTAAATAAACAAAGTGAATGAAAAACAGGCTAACGTAAGCTTACAAACTTGTGGAACTTTACTTACAACAGCACCAATACTTACTTTAGAAAATTCTTCTTAATTTCAAAGTCAGTATACAGGAGTTCTGGACATGATTTTCTGATGTAGAACAGTTTCATTATTTCTTCCGGGCCACAGCTGGTACATTCCAAATCTTGTATCAATGGCAAGATGGCAGATCGATTGCAAATGTATCGATAGCACGTACTATCTGAGGATTAAAATACTCATTTGATTAAGACAGAAAATAAATATTTGAATAAGTTCCAGATGCTTTTGGTGATGGATGAGAATTTGCAGTTAATGATTAGGAACAGTCTATTCCACAGTTGATGACGAACTCAGAGCTGGAGCCATGCAAATCGCTGCAAACAAGACCAGGTAGCTCAGCTACTATCAGCTCAGGCCTTAACGCTCCATGTTTTATTTGCATTATATGTGTATACAGTCCTAGCTCGTAAGGTTCCTCTAAGCCAACCAACACTAACCTGAGCAGCTGTTAAATGAAAACCTAACAGCACAAATACACATAGGTACTCTGTTTTTGCCATTCACAAGATTCTGTGCATTGTATCGGATTAAAGGACAATAAAGGAATAGTAATAAATACAGTACACCATTCTATAGGAAAAGTTGCTCTTTTGGGTTTCAAATGAATCCATGTAATAAGGAAGCAATAGATTCCCTGCAACAATTCTAAAAACCACGTTACTCCGTCAAGATTTATATAAAAAAGAGGATAATGACCAAATATTTCCGTCATTAATTGTCTCATGTAACTCTGGCAAATTTCAGCAATACTTCCTTATCTAAAAAAAAAGAATTAGCTGCAAAAAGCAATATAAAAGTGTTGGGATGATCACATTTCAAAACACTACTACAGACGAAGGCAGTCAACTTACAGGGTAGGGTATACACTGTTACGCCGGGAGCTTTATCCCACACAGAAGCCTCCAAACAGGAGGAGACAGACGATTCATTGAACCACGTCTCGTTGCTGGGTGTGCATGTTAACAGGCAGGAAAGGGAATCTGTCTCACATTTCACATCACTGTTCTTGTAATCAAGGACGCTCCCTTCGTTTATAGTGAAGTTGATTTTAAAGTCTGAAATGTCAATACAAACTGAAAAAGAGAGAAAACGTGAAATACAACTGATATGAACACACCCATTCATTTTCACATGACAATTTTTACACTTTTTTCAACCGATTTATCTTTTTGATACGGTAAAATGCAAACAACGTACTGCATTCTCAGTTTTCTGACTAAACAAACGTTCATACCTTGGTC